TAGCAATTATAGTTATAGACTTATCCAAATAGGAGACTATTGGATTAGGTGTCTAAGCTCATATCTAAAATTGGTATATAAATGAATTGAGAGTAGCACAATCCTTTTGAGTTGCCCTCAAACCTAACAATTGGAAATGACGACCTTTAGAGATAGATTAAATTAGTATGTGCATAATAAATTGAAATAAATAGTTTATTAATATATTATGAGAATAATATATTAATTAGAAATAATAATATTTAATTAATAATTAATCAGAAATTAATCATAATTAATTTTGGGATTAATTGAACTAATTAAATGTACAAGGGTTAAAGTGTGATTGTTTAATAGTTGAACAAGAGACATTCTAGAACCTTCCTAGAGCATTGGATGGTTTTAAGAGGAGTTTTTAGGTTCTAGAATTATCCTTGGAGAATAATCAGGAAATTAGATAATTATCAATTCAAGATAATATTATTATATTGGTTTTAGGGTTATATGGTGTTTCTAGGTTGCACTATATAAGGACCCCTAAGCCTTGAATTTCGGTCACTCCATCATTCTAAAGGGATAGCCGAAATTCTACTCTCCTCCCTCATCTCTCTATAGTCTTCATTCATTCTAGCTTGGGTATGAACCATTACAAGGGAAGGAATTCTTGTTATTTACTATTATAACAATAAGGTATGTAAACCTAAACCCTTTATGATTTTGAAATATACATAGGGTTTATAGGGTTTCTTATTTGATGCTCTTAGTTATAGGTTAAATAGTAAAAACATAGATCCTTAGGGGTTCTTTATCACAACAATCAACACCTCCCAAGTTCTTTATCACAACAATAGATCCTTAGGGGTTCTTACTTAAGGGTTTTAAGTTTATTTTCTTTTACCTAAATCCTATTATTATTTCCATATTCCACCATCGATGCCTCCTAAGTTCTTTATCACAATAATCGAAGGCTTTAGTTACTAGAAATCAGAGCCTTTATCACTAAAAATCGATACATCTTCTTTACCAATGATCATATGCTTTCTTATTTTATTCAACTTTCAATTATTTTTCTCTACAATTTATGAATTTATAGGCAAGGTAGAGAAAGTCAATGGTTTCATGAAGAAACACGGTGCGGGTGTGTTTTGATTTGAAAAGTGGTGGCCTTAGTAGTAATTATTCTCTTTTGATTATATTTGTTTCAAAAAAAATTATCTATAGAAATTCCATTTTCACGGAAGTAGAATGATTTAGGAAGTTGATCACAATAATTATAAGTTGTTGTTATGTATGCTGAATCTTTGAACTTGCAGGCTTTATTGAATCATGGCAAAACTGCAAAAATGGTCCATGTGGTATGTATTTTTTCTGTGGTTTAGTCCAAACCTCAATTTTTTTTTTCGCTTCGTGATCCTTTTGAACTAGTTTCGTTGCATTTTTGGTCCCTTAGAAAACTGAAAAGATTATTATACCCTTAGTATATTTATTTTTCATTTTTCTTTCTTTTTTATATATCTTATAATTATAAGATATACATAATGGGGTTTGAGTATAACAACATCCTATGTGTAATTGCTTTAGATCTAAGTTTTTCATTAATTAAACATGCAAATGAAATTCCAAAGAAATAACCCTAGATCTAGCATATATATAACTCGGAATTCTTATATAAAAAGGGTTAAGAAGATTACCTTGCTTGGTATGTAGCAATAACAAGAATTCCTTGATTAATCTTGGCTCTTGAAAGCTTAGTGCCTCAAATGTTGCACCTCTAATGGCTCACAAACACTTGTAGCAAGAGGATCAGAGGAGAGAGAGGAGGGAATATGCATAAAAATCTCTAGGGTTTCTATGCTCTATGCATTATCCGAAAACTCTTAGTGAAGGGGTCTTTAAATAGCTGAGACTGCTAGGGTTTTCAGGTGGAAACCCTAATTTCCTGCTTAGGCCTTAAGCGGTCAATGGACCCCCTCTTCTAAAAGCCTTGGATGAATTCTATAGGGCCTCACTATAGTTTTCATCCACTCCAATCTAAAGGAGTCTAACAACCTAGTTTTGCAACTATCAGTGATTTGCAAAATAGTCCCCATTCTTTTAATCAGTTCTTTTAATCCCAAAATTAATTCCAAATTAATTTCTGATCAAATACTAATTAAATAATATGATTTATAATTAATATATTATTCTCATAATATATTAATAAATCATTTATTAATCTCTTTCTCGATAAGTCATCCTGTCAAGTTGCTAAAGTGAAGGCAACCCAAAAGGATCATGCTACTATTAAATCAAGTTCATACTAATTATAGTTATGGGCTTAGACACCTAAACAACAATAAAACATGCCCACCTCTCTCTCTATCTCTGTGTGTCTCTCTCTGTACATCTCTCCATATCTCTTTCTCCCTCTCTCTCTCTCTCTCTCTCTCTCTCTCTCTCCCTCTATCTATCTATCTATCTATCTATCTATCTATCTATCTATCTATCTATCTATCTATCTATCTATCTATCTATCTCTTACACGTGAATCACCACCCACATGATTCACATGTCCATGGACTATACTTGCATCCTACATTCTCAGTGGCTATCACTACACCTCTGACCTCACACCCACCGAAACAAAACCCATAGACTCATCATCAATGACCACCAAATTTCTTTTGGACTTTTTACTTGCAACTGCCATTAGGAAACTCAACAAATTGAAGGAAAAGGAGCGTTCTTTATACCCACCAATCAATCGACTATCATCGCTATCTTATTCCTATCACCCGTTCTTTTTTCACATACAAACTCGTGGTAACATACCAATCACAAAACATCCCCTCTTTTGTTTTCCACTCCCTTTGACTCAAGATAAACCACATTCTCCTCCCTCGTTTTTCCGTGTCTGCCACTCTGCCACCATACCACCGTATAAATTAAGCTTTACCTCGTCATCACTTTTGCGTACATTTCGAATAACAAATTCTGATTAATACCCAATCAACAAAATCAATTATTGAATGGGAATTTACCAGATGAAAGGTAATTAACATAAGATGAAGTTGTAACATCAACAGACTAAAAGCCTCTAGTTCCTTGAAGTTCATCTGTGGCTTAATCCACACCTTCGTTTCATAGTTTTCTTGGCACCACCATTTTTTTCTACTAGTGTGATATGATATACAATGTCTAATACCATCTGTTGCTTTACACTTATAACATTCCCAAATTTCAAAACTAAATTTTGTAGAACATTTAATTTTACACCAAAAAAACCCTAATTTGAAATGTGCACAAATCTTAAATTAATTATCATCCAAAAAACCGCTTTGAACATGTTAAAATATGCACATATCGAAGATTAGAATGTTCATCCAATGCATCTTGAACCCTGATTATTCACAAATTGACATCTAATGAAATCTGCACTTGTGAAACTTGAAGTACAAATTAATTGGAGAAGATTACACGAATCGGTGGTAATACATACCTGCTTCTTTTTATGCTTATGGACAACAAATTTTAGCAATGTTGTTTTCCACTCCCTTTGACTCATGAGTTCCTCCACTGGGTTTTAGATTTAAGAAGACAATGGTAGTGGTATGTTCACTGTGCTGGTGTGTGTGTGTGTGTGTATATATATATATATATATATATATATATATATATATATATATATATATAGAGAGAGAGAGAGAGAGAGAGAGAGATGGTCCCAAATTAAATAATTATTTAATTTTCTTTTAAATTAAATAGAAAAAACATAATAAAAATATATCACAAAGGCATTATACTAAACCTCGGAAAAAATACAAATCACTGAGACCATTTTTATAGTTGTCTTGAATCTTTTGTTGTGGTTCAAAGAATTTAGTGCATCTTTATAGTACGTTCACGTCTTTTAGTGTGGTTCATGATTGTTTTATGTGTATTTTAATGGAAGAACCTCTCTCTCTCTCTCTCTCTCTATATATATATATATATATATATATATATATATATATATATATATATATATATATATATATATACTCCTTTTTAAGTTGTTTGTTGTTGGGCAATTCTAAATAGAAAGACAAAATTGTAATTTTCGCTACTCATCTTAGGGATTTAACAATATCACCAAACAACATATTTTTATTTAAAAACACATTTATTTAGAACCTTAAATTGTGTAAGGGTGTGAGGAGTTTGATTGTTTAAGTTAGAAGTAATGGAGTTATGATTGTACAAATTTGCAACAAATAAACTAAAATGTTGTTTGATTGTTGTTAATTGGATTAGAATTAACTGAGTTAGAGGCTTAGATAGAGTCAGAAACACGAATGGATACCAAAGACTTGGACTAAGGACTAAGTCCGAAACTGAAGAGTAGAACTCACTACAAAACTTTATTCTTGGACTTGATTAAAAGAAAAGTTGTGGACTTGGTTAAAAGTTATGATCGAGTTATTGAATCAAATAAACACGCTAATTGGTAAATATAGACTGAGTCCTAGCTTTGGACCCGGTGAGAACCTTTATCAAATGATCCCTAACCATTTTTTTAAAAACTAAGAAAAAAGAAAAAAGAAAAAAAAATAAGAAAAAAGAAAAAAGAAAGAAAAATAAATGGTTATACAAAATTAACAAATAATCAATAAATAGGCAATCTAACATGACCATTAATCAGTTTTAATACTATTATACAATATATTAAAATTATCCAACCTTAGCTACAGTAAAGTAGCTAAGGTTTGTCATAATTGGCCCTTCATCTATTGCCTTAGCTACAGTAAATAACTGTTTTTTTTTAATAGAAAAGGCCCTTCCTTTATGATGGTATCTTATCTTTTGGCTTTCTTGCTTCTCTGGGCAGTTTATGCCGTTTTCTATAAACTTTGTCCACACGTGTCATTTTGATTTTGCTTCAGCGTTTTGTCGCCCAATTAGGTTTCGATGTCTGTTTCTTAACCTTTCTCCACCGCCTCATCTGTTGCTTTCAAATGTTACAACCCACTCTAGAAATAGAGAATAAATCCCTGCTTCCAACGATGCCCTTTACTACGTGTTCTTCGTCGGGTTACTGTAACTCTACCTTGGTCACCGCCTCCGGATCCTTCCCCACCATCGGCTCCGCCGCTTCTGACCATTCCATTCGTAATCGGTGGAGCAAGAACAGATCGGAGAGGAAAACCAAGAAATCGCCAAGGCCGTTGTCGTGCTGTTGTGGCTTCTCGACTCTCATCGACGTCCTATAACGAGCCAACAAGCCCTTCGCGTTCATCTCTCTCCCTGCTCCACCTCCTTCCAGTTTCTCCCCTTTCTCTGAGACTGTGTATCATCAGGTATGCTCCATTTGTGTGTTTTTGTGAAGTTTTGCCTTGCCTGCTGTAAATTAGGGCTTAAAATGCATGTGATTTGGAAATCAATCCGTTGAGAGTGTTGTATTTGAGCGTGATGTACATAACTCAGTTGCTCATGATTCCGAAGAAAACACATGGCCTGTAAGTTCCCATAATTGAACTCTTTTTTCGTTATGTTCTTTCTCATTATCGATTGTGATAAACCCATTTCCCGATGGTTGGGTTTTCTGATTTTGAATTTGGGTTTTTAATTTAGGAATTGGTGTTTGATGGTGGAATTATGTTGCCTATGATAATCGAAATGAAACATTAGACTTTTTTGTTTGCAGAAAAAGGTGAAATTGAGGTCCTCGATCTTCTGCATTGAAATCCCTCTTTCACTCGATTTTATTTTGTTTCATTTGATTTGAATCCATCAGGTAAAAATTTCTAATTTGATTTGATTTTTTGTTCCAGGTTTTGAAGAACTCGGCTTATTTACTCATCAGGTTTTGAATTGCTATTTTTCCTCATTTATTCTATTTATCTTCTACTTAAATCAACTCTTTTAAAATGAAATATCAATTTCCTTCATGCCATCTCACACTGTAATGTTATATTGAAGTTTTATTGATGGCCTAGATCAAGTCGACGATGTTGAAGATTGAAACCCAAGATAATTTGTACGAACTTGTATGGACTTTTATGAAATTTACCAGAATGGATATTACTTAGGACACAATGTTTTTTTCTCTCCCTTACAATATCAAAAGGCCATTGAAGAAGAATGTATGAAGCTCGAGGAGAAATATTTGTAGGAAATAGTTAATGAAGTAAAAGAGAAGGTAAATTTTAACTTTTTATCATAATTTTGTCACTTTCTTTTACTTTTCTTGTGTTTATTGATTTAGTTTTAATCCTTATGTAATTAATATGTATGTGGCTTTCTAGGAAGTGACTACTATTACTTAAACAATTTGTAGGAACTGATATCACAATGCTTTGGTTAAAATCATCATAGATAGCAATAACAATTCAGAATACTTCCTCACTACCATGCGTATTTATTTTCAACAGTTTGGTGGCATCCTTGAATCTGTTATCATCACTGATAAAATCATTTATATATCTTTCTACTTTATCCCAGGACTACAGGTACAAATGACAACTCATTCGTTCAAACTATTGATATCAATTTTATTTCAGATTTTTTTTATCAATTTTGGGTGTTCTTTTTTAATAAGAAGCTTCCGCCTATGTATTCATGCCATATTCAGGTGAATATGACATAGCAAACTCAGAAAAGGTTTGTGTTGAGATCATACAGAAAATGGTATGCTTTCTTTGGATTATTCATTGAACTTATAATTATTTAATGTCATATATGAATGACCATCTTTTTAAACCATTCAAAACACAAAGCAACCGATATATAAACTTTTTATAAAGTATTTAAAAAAAATTTAATTCCAACATATCATGTAGGGAATATATTGAAGCAATCAGGGAGATTGAGAATCAGCTCCAAAGAAGGACAATCAAAATAGCCTTTGATCATATTGTTGTAGCATGTGGCAGGTTTTAGTTTTCTTATTGGTTTTCAATTTTTAATGTGATTAATATTCTATTTTAAGCATAATATTAAGTTATCTCTCTAACTTCATTTAGATTGTATTTGTATTGATTTTTAGTGGTGGTATAATTGTTGGATTGTCAATTGTTTCATGCGTAAGTGAGCCTAAAACAAAAGTAAGTTCATTACACATCGTTTATTTTAATCTAAATTCTTTTATTGAGTCAAGACTATTAATTTGATATAATAATGTCAAGTTTTCATAAAAAATGGGGGTTTTGCTAGAAATTTTAAAAAGTTTGTTCTTAAATATGGTCAAGGTTGGATAAGATCTTACACCATTTTTTTTGTGTGTGTGGAATGCAAGAATATATAATATTAAATTACAATATCCTTTGGTGATTATGCAAAAGTCATATTTCATTGTTTTTAGTTCTCATTATTTTTGGTTTTCTGTTGTTAAAAGGTATGTGGACCTAAAGAACAATAATTCAACCAATACGAAATGGATCGTACGATTCTTGAAGAAGTGTGATTTCTTCTCTGTTATTAGTTTTCATTCCTTGCGTAGGTGGTGTTTTTTTCCATCTGATCATGGAAAGGAATGATAGCTTCTGATATAGTTTCAGATATGACATATTTTTATTTATGAATTTTTGACATCACATGTGTATTAAATATACTGATTTGTTTATTATAGTAATATTAATCAACAGAATAAAATGTTATTTGGTCTTATTTCAATATCTTCCGACCCCCGCAACGCGGGGGAAACCTATCTAGTTGATATATAATGGTTGTATAAATGTGATTATCTGCCCCTGACTTCTAAATTATTAAATAGTCATAAAAAAATATTTTTTTTTATCAAAATATTAAAATCTATTTTGTGACATTTCAAATGAATAATTAAATAATCTATACCCAAAGTAATAAGCCCATTGGACCAAAATAAACAAAACCCAATGAGCCGAGGTTAACAAGCGAAATGTAGGCGAACGTTATCAAAAGGAAATATTAAAGTATTATCCATTTGACATGTGTCACTCTAATACAATTTTTCATTAATATAATGCGACATGTCAAATAGATATATTAGATAATACTTTAAAATTCAAATTTACTTTTTCTAATTATATGTTAAATTTGAAGTTATAATAACTTTAAAAATTTGGTATATCTCATAATTAATGATTTATTTAAAGTAATTGATAAATAATTTATGAATTTTTACTATGCAAATTTAATTTATTTTCTAACCGTGGTTCCCACGGGTTATAAACTAGTTAACTATAACCCTTTAAAAGTCAATTGCAGTACTTGTTGAGTGTTGACATTTCCACAATTTTCCGAATCTAATACTTCACATTTCGACCAAAATGGCATTTTGCAGTATCGCATCTGTTGCTTCTGGATTTGTGGTGAAATCAAACATCTGCAGCACCTTTAAAACATTCACAATCAAGTCCGCAATGGTAACGTTTCCTTCCAAGAACACAAGAAGCTCGCGATTGGTTGTGAAGGCTGCTGAAGAAGTTGCGGCGCCAGTGGCCGTTAGTGCTACAGATACCGATGAAGACAAGTCTAAACCACCTTCGATTGGACCCAAAAGAGGAACACAGGTATGAAAATGCTCTGATTAAAGCAACATATATTACTTTCAACCATCAATTCGTATCATAAGTTAACTACCATAAGAAGTTTCACATAAATTAGTTAAAATTGTTCATCGCATAAAGAATGTCATGTTTATAACACGATCTTCCATGAACAGGTTAGAATTCTAAGGAAGGAATCCTACTGGTGTAACAATGTTAGATCAGTTGTGACTGTTGATCAGGTAAAAGCTAAACACACCATGCTTATTAGTGTCCATTAAAGTACACTATGTTGATTTCTTAATTGTGAGTTGCAGGATCCTAACGCCCAATATCCAGTGGTTGTGCGGTTTAACAAACTCAACTACGCAAATGTATCAACAAACAACTACGGGTTAGATGAGATCGAAGAAGTTTAAAGTTCATATTTTCTTCAATAGAGCCTCATCTGTTACGTTGATCAATAAAAGAAGCCCAGATTCATTGTAATGAACTGGATTCTAGAATTTGCAACTTCTAGTCTCTTACTCTCTTATATGGTAGACCAAGACCCTAGACAATCATCAAATTCACATAATATCGTCTGGATTAGAATTAAATATGCTATCATATTTTAAATTGTTTTTTCAATTAAACGATTGAACAATTTTATTATTATTATTATTATTATTATTATTATTATTATTATAACAACAGGATAAAAATTGTAAAATATAACGATTTTAATAAAAAAAATGAATATACAACGCTAAATTTGATATATTTTTCGACCTGCCTTTAATAACAAAAATTGAAAGTATGCTCCTCTAATATAGGGAAATTTCTTTTTTCTCTATTCTAATAAAAGAATAGTTTTAATTTCCTTTTAATATGTGTCATCCTATCAGAATTTCTAATTAATGCATGCCACTTATCAACCTATTAATTTTCAGTTTTAAATGTTAAAATTTAAATTTCTCATTCTATTTACATTAATTTAATAACATTAAAATAAAAATTAAAATAAAATTAATACAAATTATAAGGTGATATTATTTCACATATTTATTTAAATTAACGATTATAATTTTATATAACTAAAAAAATATATCTTAGATAATTTATTTAAGTTAATTGATTAATAATTTGATTTCTCATAATTAATTTTATAACCATTTATAAACTAGCATTATGCACATCGATTAAAGTATGTTATTTTTAAATGCAGTTGACCCATTACATTATATCCACGAGTATGTTACTTTTTATTGCAGTTAACCCATTAAATTACATTCATTGCAATCAACGTCACCCTTAACTAAACTCTAAATGGTCACTCTCTCTGGTATGAAACAACATTAACAATTTAAAGAAGGGGCAGGTTCTAGTTAAAATATAGGAGGTGCAAGATCCACACCACTAGGAAAGAAATGGTTAGATATGTTGCAATTTTAGAGATCGAACATATTAAAATATTGAAAGAAATTTAAAAAAAAATGAAAGAAATGGAATCATACCGGCTAGGAATGTGAGAGACTTTCACCTTTTGATCGAATGTGTGTAATAATTTTTTTTTTAACATCTATAAAAATCATGTCAAATTAAAATTTTTTTAAATAGTTCAAAAACCAAAAAACAATAATTATTATAAACATGTTTTCAAAATGGTATAATGTTTGAGTTTCCCATAATCAAATCGTAAAAACATAAGGAGATGCACGATTATGTATTCGTCTTCACGCGATCATCAAAAGTATCTGAAACAATAATCGATATATATATATATATATATATATATATATATATATATATATATATATATATATATATATATATATAGTCAAGATCAAATAAGAAGGAAAATTTTAGTAGGAATGTAAGAACTTTTTTATATACATATTTTCTTAGGAAAAAATGAAATGAATAATTAGGTGATTTAAAAGTAAGATGATTCATAAGAAAAAAAATCCAGAAAAAACATTTTCATGATTCATTTTTAGGTAAATAAAAAAAAGTTCACTTTTATGACAATTTTAGTAAATATCAACAAAGTCATCGTAAAAATGAATCATCGAAATGTTTTTTCGAGATTTTTTTTGTGAATCATATTATTATTGATTCATCTAATGATTCATTTGTTTTGTTCGCCAAAAAAATAAACCGAAATTTTTTTTCTTACCTTCCTATGAAAAAAAATTTCATACCGGTTATATATATATATATATATATATATATATATATATATATATATATATATATATATATATATATATATATATATATATATATATACACATACATACAGAGAGAGAGAGAGATGAAAGTTCAATTGAGAAAAAAAAAGGTTGAGAATGGGGAAATCATTCTCAGTCAATCAATTACTGTTGCCGTAAAAGCCTCCAATGTACAGACGGAAATGGGAAAAAAAATACACATGTGTTTTCCAACAAAACGTGTTTCCTTAAACTATGTTAAGCATTACCTTAATATATACAAAAACATAGTTTTTTCGTATTTATTTTATTTTATTTTGAAGAAACTATTTTTATCGAAAAATGATTTCAAATATACCAAAGTTCATGATTTTTTATTCTCTATAAATAGACATCCATGTTGATATAGTTTTAAGATAAAACTAGATTATAGCCCGCGTTAAACGCGGGAAATACATAAAAAAAAACATATAATCGTTTATAGATATTGTATAATGATTATTAAAAAAATATATGGTTATTGGTATTATTGAAATATGTAGAAAATACATTGAAAACGATAAATATATATAATCATTGAAAGATCTCTTTGTAGACATCATTTTTTTGTTTTATTAGTTGAACGATTTTCCTCGTCTTATATAGTTATAATATTTATATATTTATAAGCATTTTAATTAGACGTTCATTGCATAATAATGTTAACTAATTTAAACATATATTGACAATCAATATACCGTTTTTTCTATTGCATCAAATATTAACAACTATTTCATTTATTCAAATAAAGTTATGTAATATAATTTATAAAATGTTAAATGTTATATAGATTTAATTTTAGTATATCATCAATGGAGATTCTTTTCTAAATCATGATTGGTTTATTTTAAATTGATTATAAATATAAATGCTAGCTTTTATGTTTGTTCTTATTTATTTAGTGTTCGTAAAAATTTTGCATTAGTTTTGGCGCAACTTTGAATAATTTTAGTATATTAATTTAATTTGATATATCTGTCAATTATATGAAATATCAAATAATCACATTTCATTACTATTGTGATAATTTAGTTTATATATTGTATTTTCAGTAATCTTAACGCTCTTATTTTTTCTAATAACCGTAACGCTTTTACTAAATGTACTATTTACAAATCTCCTAATATCTTATAATTTTAATCTTACTTTATAATTTTTCATAACTATGTTATTTTCAAGATTGACTGCTTTAATAGTGTTTTTTTTAGTCTATTCACTTTTATATTTCATTGTACAACATTATCGTTTGTATGTATTCTGAAATTTCACTTTCAAAATGTTTAATGTTTACACCTTGATATTAATTTTTTTAATAAACTCATGTAATAATTATGGAATATATATCTCATTTTAATTAACATTCACTTCCTTTATTATATCAAATTCCTCATTAAATGGATATACTTTTGGAAAATAATAATTATAATAGGGCAACATTATCTAAAACGTAAATGTTTGATATACTTTTGGAGAAAAAAAAATCAGGATCATTAAAAAAAATTATATAAAGAAAATACAAATTTAAATTTGTTGAAATTATGGATGAAATTACTGACGAAAATTTATTTTGGAAGGAGTTGTATTCTGTAAGGTATAATAATATTACAAAATTTGAAATATCTATATTTGTTGTGTAAATTAATAAATTTTATTGTTACTATACGAAGATAAAAAAGTAGGTTGATATGATATATAAAAACATAATAATTTCAATGATATTTTAAAATCATGCCAAAATTAACCGGATTCTTATGACATAAAAATTAAAAAAAAAATCATAATCATCTCTAATATATAAAAGTAAAATTTTCGTAATTAATGTCACTTCCCAGGATAGTTAATTTTTGTTTTGTTAAAGGTACCTAATACCTTTTCATGTTTATTTGAAAAGTTTCAGAAAAGTAGTTAACTGATTTCATGTAATTTGTGACAAAGAAAATCGAAATATATGAATACATACATTTGATATAGGAGCAAAAAATGATCGAAAAAAATATAAAAAACGAAAGAAGGTACTGACCTTCTAACACACAAGAGCGAATGTTGATAGCAGAAAATGATGATGGAAGTTATAAGCAATATTAACGATGTTGTATGAGAATGTTTGAAGAAAAGAAACGATTGAAAATAAATGTGAGTCGCGGATTCAATGATGAATCGTATATGTATGTGATGATTTGAATATGATTTTTCGGTATAAATGATTTCCTAATAAAAAAAGATTTTATATTACTGGTTTACGAATATAAATGGATTTATATTAATGGTTGATATTAAGGCCTTATTTGAAATGATTTGTTAGTAATATATTTTTAAAATTGATCATATTAAAATCTTCATAACTGAAAATTCAAGATGTAAAATATGGAAAGTTTTTATTGGAATTAAATACATTCCATTTCAACGAATGTAAGTTATTGATTGATGATTGAAAATCATTTATTGGAATTAAATACATTCCATATGGGGAAGATGATGTCAGCAATTTGATCTAAGGGTGGAAAAAATAAGATTGAAATACAATCAATGGTCCAGATTATTTAAGATGATGTCATAAAGTTTCTCTTTTAGTAATATTTAAGATATATATTTTTTAATATTTTCAGCTATCTTTATTCATAAGTGAATAAAAATGAATCAGGTTTTTACTACACTACATTCGTTATTAACTTATGAATAAAAACTATGATTTTTTTTACAATTTAAGTATAATTCATATATGAATATATCATATACTAAACATAATATATTTATATTTAAATATTAGATGATGCATTCACTTGTGAATATTACGTACTATATATTCACTTGTGAATGTTAGATGATATATTCTCTTATGAATATTAGATGATATTTTCATATGTGAATATTATATAGTATTTAATGGTATATCAAATGAGAATAATACATAGTATATTCACTTGTGAATATTAGATCGTATATTCACTTATGAATAATAGTTGGTATATTCATATGTGAATATTGCACAGTATATTAATATATGAATATTACAAGGTGTTTTCAGAATTATATATAATTTTTATATGTTATTCACATACAGATTTGCATATTTGTTTTGTGTTTTAATAATCACATATTTATTCGGGTGAGAAAACATATTCATATGTGAATAAAACGTGTTAATTTAGTTTATGCATTTCATCAAACAGTTTGAATACATACAAGTT